CAGTAATCAAAATAGTGTGGTGCTGACTATAAAAGTAGATATATAGATATCAACATAGAATTGAATTGAGAGTGCATAAATTAACCATATGTTTATGGACAATTAAATTTTTTTGTTAATCTTCACCTGAGGGCATTTTTTTTTCTATTGATTTTTAGAGAGAGTAGAAGCAGAGAATAAAGAGAGAGAAGCATCAATGTGAGAGAGACACATCAATTGGTGGACTCCCATACATGCCCCAACCTGGGCCGGGGATCAAGCCTGCAATTGAGGTATGTGCCCTGGATCAGAATTTAACCCATGACCCCGCAGTCCAAGGGCCAAGACTACTAAGCAAAATAGATCAAGCTACAGCAATTAATTTTTGACAATAGTAGCAAGATCATTCTATGGGGAAAGAAGTTACTTCAACAAATGGTACTGGGACAATTAGACTACCTACATGCAAAAAATGAGGTTGGACCCTCTAACATAGACCTATATAAAAATTAACTCAACATGTTTCAATGACCTAAACATAAGAGCTAAAATTATAAAACTCTTAGAAGAAAACATAAGTTTAAATTTCCCTGTCCTTGGTTTTGGCAATAGGTTTTTAGATATGCTACCAAAAGCACAAGCAACAAAAGAAAAAAGTAGATAAATTAGACTTCATAAAAGTTAAAAACGTATGTTCATCAAAGGACATTATCAAGAACATGAAAAGACAACCTACAGAATGGGAGAAGATATTTGTAAATCATGTATCTAAAAAGGTTTTAGTGTTCATATCATTTAAAGAATTCTTATAAGTTAACAATAAAAAGACAAAAAATACAATTAAAAATGAGTAAAGGCCTTGAATAGATATTTCTCCAAAGAAGGTATAAATTTAAGTGGTCAATAAACCCATGCAAAGAAACTCAACATTATTAGTCATTAGAGAAGTGCAAATCAAAAACACAATGAGATACCTTTACATCTACTAAAATGGTAGTAATGATAGAAAAATTTTTTTGTAGAATATGGAGAAATTAGAACCTTGTACATTGCTGGTGGAAATATACACTGGTATAGCCAATATAGAAAACTATTTAGTGATTCCTCAAAAAAATTAAATATAATATGACCCAGTAATTCCATTCCTAGGTATATATCCAGAAGAATTGAAAACAGATATCAAACAAATACTTGTACACAAATCTACATAGCAGTGTTATTCAATAAGTAAAAAGGTGGAAACAATACAAATGTCTATCAATAGATGAATGGATAAATTAAATGTAGTAATACATATAATTAAATATTATTAAACAATAAAAAGGAATTACTGATAGATGATACAGCATGAACAAACCCTGTAAACCCTGTACTAAGTGAAAGAAGTCAGCTACAAAAGGCCACATCCTATATGATTTTACTTATATGAATATCCAGAATACCTAAACGAATAGAGATGGAAAGCAGATTGGTATTTTTGGGGTGCTAGGGGGAGGGGTAAATGTGGAATGATTACTTAATAAGTGCAGGGTTTCCTTTTTGAGGTGATGAAAATGTTTTGGAGTGACTTAAGAGGTGGAGGAACAACCATGTGAATTTACAAAATGCCACTAAATTATACACTTTAAAATTATTGTTTTGTCTTTTATATTTCACATTAAGGAAAAACAAATAAAGGAAAAAAGTCTGCCTTTGGGTAGAGACACACCTGACGCTAGATGTGGATGGAAAACTGAAAGGCATGGAGAGTGGGAGGTCACATGGGTACAGTGGGAGGTCACATGGGCAGATTCTGAGAGGTGGAAAGACGCAGCTGTCCCAGAGGACAATGACAAAAGGTAAAACAACACTGCCTGTAGTGAGCAAGAATAAACATTAGAGGCCCTGACCGATGTGACTCAGTTGGTTGGAGCATCGTTCCATACACCAAAAAGGTTGTGGGTTCAATCCTGGGTCAGGGCACAAAACCAGGTTATGGGTTCGATCCCTGATTCCGGTGCGTGCGGGAGGGACATAACTAAATCAATGTTTCTCACATTTATCTCTTTCTCTCCCTCTCTCTTTCTCAAATCAATAATAATAATAAAAAAAGAATAAACATTAGAAAGCATGGATAGTTGGTAAGTAGATGACCCTGCTCAGGGAAAGGAGAGTCATTGGATTACAATCTCTTAGCCTAAGAGCCAGCAAGTTTTTGACTCAAAACCACAGAATCATTTGGCCAGCCTACATGGATTGGCTCTGCCTCCATTTCCCACCGCATTCTCCCCTGGGCAGCAGATATCTGTCTGTATCTGCTTCTTGCAAACACATTCGGAGAATTTGTTCCCAGGCTTCCCTCCCTCTAGTCCCAGGGTGACTTAAATCCCATGAAATCTAGACCTTGCTACTCAAAGTGTGATCCTTAGAATAGGAAGGGTTCCCTGGAAGCTAAATCTTAGCCTCCTTCCCAGAATCAATATATATATATTTTAAAATATATTTTATTGGTTTTTTACAGAGAGGAAGGGAGAGAGATAGAGAGCTAGGAACGTCGATGAGAGAGAAACATTGACCAGTTGCTTCTTGCACACCCCCTACAGGGGATGTGCCCGCAACCAAGGTACATGCCCTTGACCGGAATCAAACCCGGGACCTTTCAGTCCGCAGACCGACGCTCTACCACTGAGCCAAACCGGTTTTGGTCCAGAATCAATATTATAATAAGATTGCCTTGCAATTTTTATGCATATTAACTAACATTTGATAAGGCCCTCCCCCCATTTAGAAAGAATAAGAGACAAAGAGACTTGTTTTCCCCAAGGGCATGCTGGTGCCTGATTCCAGTTGAACGTATTAGGATGATCTCTCAACACGGTTTAACTTTCTGGCTAAGTTTTCTAAAGGAATCAAGTTAGGATGTTCCCCTTACTAAAGAGAATATGGGCTGGCACGCATCATCTTCCTTCCTGCTTGTTTTCAAGGTTGATTTAATCTTCTTTAGCTGCTTCCTGTCCCTGAATCTATACCATTTTTGGCTACCGGGCCGGAAATTTCACAGCCCCTACGCTGCATCATCCTTCTTCCTATACACCGTACTATTTCACTTATTTATCTTGTTTATAGTCTGTCTCCCCTGCTAAAATGTTTATTTGGAACCAGGAGGTTGCTATTTGATGCCCAGTCAGGTTGGGGTTGCTGGCTCAGTCCTCAGTGGTAGGCAAGCAGGAGGCAACAGATCAATGATTCTCTCTCATCCCTGATCACTGATGTTTTTCTCTCCCTTTCCCTTCCTCTCTGAAACCAATAAAAATATATTTTAAAAAAAGTTAACTCCAAGAGGCAGAAATTGTTGTGGCTTTGATAATGATGGATCTCCAGAAACTAGAACAGTGCCAGGCTTCCAGTAAGTGCTCAGTATTGGCTGACTTAATGAATTTATATTTCCCCTTATTCCTACGGCCAGCTACTTCTGCATGCCTGTGGGGACTCTTGCTTCTGTCCTTTTTTCTCTTGTGCTGCTGCCCTGTTTGTTCAACTGTCATTATTTCTCAGAACTATCACAATAGGCTGCCACCTGCTAATGAAATTTGGCAAATTATTGAAATTATCATAATTCAAGATGTAAAAATGGGAATGGTACAGACTCACAAAACTGTCACAGGCTTATGTACATATACACTGAGTGGTCAGATTATTATGATCTCATAATAATCTGGCCACTCAGTGTGTGTGTGCGTGTGTGTGTGTGTGTGTGTGTGTGTGTGTGTGTGTTAGAGGCCTGAAATAGATAATTTCAATAATTTGCCAAATTTCATTAGCAGGTGGCAGCCTATTGTGATAGTTCTGCATGGGTGGGGTCCAGCCAGCCTGGCCAGGGGAAGGAGACATGGGCGGTTGGCCGACCTGCCTGCTGCTCGAGGGGATAATTTGCATAGTTGCCTTTTATTATATAGGACATACACTGAGTGGCCAGATTAGTATACGTTCAGAAATCATAATAATCTGGCCGCTCAGTGTATAAAGCATGTAAGTGCTTGGTCCCGTGCCTGTTAAACAGAATAGACACTCATCGAATATTAGCTCGAGGCTAGTTCTGGCTTAGCTCTCCGGCCTTGTGTCCTGCCTCATATGTCCCTTAACCCTATACTTTGGCTCCAATGGACCCCTGTGGTGACCCAAATGTCACATAAAACTTTGTTTTGCAGATAACGGACAGTAGGAAACAAGAAGCAGGCAGGACCCGCTAATTCTTTCTGCCATATAAGGTACTGCTGAACCACATACAGAGCCCCTGGTTTGCATCAAAGAAAGAACGAGCTGTAGAAAGCTTTTTATTCTTCATTTTTATAGCAAACAGAAACTAAGAGGACCGTGTCTAGTATTTTTTGTTGGGCCTAGAAATTTTGGCTAAATCGACTCATAGGTTTTCAATATTTTAGATGAGAACAGCATCTCTAGGGAGGAAAGGTAATAGTAATGTAAATACGATTCATAACCGTAGCAACCCACAGGTTGAGAACCGCTGCTGTAAAGCCTAAGACCATCGGAAAACACAGATATTTACATTACGATTCATTAACAGTAGCAAAATTACAGTCATGAAGTAGCAACAAAAATAATTTTATGGTTGGGGGTCACCACAACATGAGGAACTGTATTAAAGGGTTGTGGCATTAGAAAGGTTGAGAACCACTGCCTTAGATGCAGACACAACTTTAGTTATCCACCGAACCATTTAACATTGAGAGGAGGTAGCAGCTTATCAGATAGCACTGTGAGCCCCACCCAGAACCTTGGCAAAGAGACAGACAGACAACCATATATATATATATATATATATATATATATATATATATATATATATATATTTATATATTTATATATTTATATATATTTATATATATTTATATATATTTATATATATTTATATATATTTATATATATTTATATATATTTATATATATATAGTATTTAGCCTAAACAAGCAGCACAAAACCAGGGAGTCACTCCGTGAAACATGGGTTTGCACAGACATTTACCTGAGCCAAGGCTGGAGAGAAGTTCGAGGAACTGGAGCAACCAGATCATGGTGTTAGCATTGGTGCTGGAGACTTGACACTAGTCAAAATGATGCAGCCTTAACTGAAAGTGCTTCTTAAACTTCTGCTTCCTCTTAGAGGTGTGGCATAAGTAGACAGCAGAGAGCAGAGCAAAGGACCGAAAGCCCTGGGTGCCTAATGAAATATGGTAGTGTAAGGATTTATAGACATGCTAGGCATGGATGTAACAAGGGGAACAAACTGCTTGTGCTGGGAGCGGAAACAAGGGTTTGTTCTCAGCATAAACAAGGGTCTGTTCTCAGCATAAACAAGGGTCTGTTCTCAGCATAGACACTATCTGTAATACTTAGCTAAGTCTAACCATAAAGATATCAACAACAGGACGTGCTCAGCCTCCCCCTGATTGTGTCAACAATAGGACGTGCTCAGCCTCCCCCTGATTGTGTCAAAAACAAAATATAGACAAGGAGCTGTTATCTTGTTGTGAAAACTTACCAGCCACCTGCGCGTGGTTTTTGCCTTTAAAAGCTTACACCCTCCCCTTGCTCGGGGCTCCAGTTGGCAGTCTCCTGCAGAGCTGCTCGCTGTGAGACCGAGTGCACTCGAATAAAGCCTCCTGCTCTTGCATCAAGTGCCGTGTCCAGCATCTGATTTGGGGTCGCCGTCCCCTTCCAAAGGACAGAGGCCGATTCGGGCCTTACAGTAGCAACCATTCTCAAATAAAAACTGCTGTTTGAATTTTAACCCTTCTAGTCTGGCTCTTGCACCTGATTAAGCATAGGATGGTTACCTCAGCTTCCAGGTGGAGACCTGGAGGATAAGGCAATTTTCCTGTGCCTGGGACTAGAACTGCAGGAGATTGATTCCCACTGGCTCAGTAGCTTCAGGGATAGAAACTGTAGATAACCATTAGAGACTAACCGCTGAACTCTGCTTCTGTACTATGCTTTCTTCGCAAGATAGGGCCACGTTCCAATGTCCAGCAGGCTGTTCCCAGTCTTTAGAATTCAGAATAAAAGAAAATTCTCGTGGTTTAGACCTTTAAATGGACTGCCTGCACCTGCAATGGTGCAGTCGTGTGGAGTCCACCTGCGTGTGGTGCTCTTGCGGCCGTCTTGGCCAGTTTTTCAATAAATCCTTGCCTGCTTTTTTAAATCAATCATCAGCCTCCAGTGGTCTTATTTTGAACCCAGGGTTCGCCCCCTCAACACCTAGCAAAGGACAATTGTAGGATGGCACCTCCAGGTGACCTTTCCTCCCCAGAGATAACATTTAGGCCTCAATGACATTTCAGGCCCAGAAAAGCAGGAACACCAGACAAGCAATGCGATGGCTGACATCAGGACAAGCTGCAATGAGAAAGGAGCCTGTGCTCTGGTGTTAACTCATTTCCTACCCTGAAAGCTGCTGAATATTCTATTGAAGTCTTCCCCTAGGATCTTCCCTAAAATCGCCAACCCTGAGGATGGAAGACCTAGTGATGAGGAGCATAAGATATTTTGGGGGCTAGCAATCTGAATTTGTCCCCGTTGCCTGCTTTCTACTGCACTTTCTTGCTGGCCGATAACTCCCTTTGTGAAAGGAGGTGGGAGTCTGGCAGCCGGACTCCGCACCTAGTTAATTAATGTCGCTAATGCACATTCTTGAAGTGACTGCTCCTTCCTTAATTATCTGGTCTCACAAGAGCTATTTACCCAAATACTCCCAATTTACAAGGGCCATAAACCAAGGATGAAACAGCTTAACTAGAGGGAGGTCACTGGTGCCATCCAGGATGGACATTAGCTACAATCTAAGTTAATCATTCTGACTGATTCTCAGAGATGGGGGAAGGGGAGACTGTGAGGGGGTGGGGACTGTGAGAGTGCTCTACCGAAGCTGGTAGTTAGGAAACAAAGAAACTCAGAAATATATAAGGAGACAATCTCACTGTATAAGTTGTTCAGGATCTGCATCTTAGAGCACCCTGAACCAGCAGTGCTGCTTTGAATAAAGGCTTTTCCTGAAACCTCAGTGTGTCCAACTGACTCTCCTGTGCCAATTCCATAAATTCTATATTCCATAACACCAGCATCCTCTCCCTTTCAGGAGCACCCATACCCACACCTCTCCCTCCCCCACACCCCCAGGCGCTACCGTTACTTTCCTCACTCCCAAGCCCCATGGACCCTTCTTTTGCTTCTAGACTTTGTTTTCTCAGCCCATTTCTTCTATGAATTACTTTTTCTACCTCTGTGATTTTATAAATAATCTAGAGGCCCAGTGTATAAATTCATGCACAGGTGGGGTCTGGCCAGCCTGGCCACACGCAATTAGGGTAGATTGGGACTGGGCCTGTCAGGAGGAGAAGATGGAGGGAGATTGGCTGGCTGGAGGGAGGGGCCATAGGCGATTGGCCAATTGGGAGGCCAATGGAAGGAAGGGGCTATGGGTGGTGAGCTGGCTGGCCTCTCCCCTGAATGGGGTGGGTGGTGTTGATTGGGGGCCAGTGGCCTGGGGGAGAGGCCATGGGTGGTTGGCCAGTCAGCCCCTGATTGGGATGAGGGGGCCGATCTGAGGTGGGGCCGGGTGTGGGGGAGGGGCTGCAGGAGGTTGGCCAGTTGACCCCACTCTTATTAAGGTGGGGGTGGGATCAGTAGCAGGGCCGGCTGGGGGGAAGGGCTTCGGGCCTATTATGGTAGGGTGGGCAGATCAGGGGTGGTGCTGGCCGGGAGAAGGCCGGGGAATTGGATTCTCCCACCCAGACCTAGGGCAGACCAGCTGGGAGAAGGGCCATGGGAGGTTGGCTAGCCAGCCCCGTGCCCTGATTGAGCCAGTTCACTGGCCATAGTGGGCATCACAGTATCATTACATCATTACAGACACTGGCTTTTTTAATATATAGATTAGAGGCCTGGTACATGAAAATTCATGCACTGAAGGGGGCGTCCCTCAGCCCGGCCTGCCCCCTCTCACAGTCCAGGAACCCTCAGGGGAGGGAGGTGACCCAGCAATCAGGGGAAGGTGACACCCCATCACACCTCTGCTGCTACCACTGCCGGCAGTGCAAGCCCTGGCCAGCCCTGATTACCTGAGCCTCGGGTAGCCCTGGGTGGCTGGGCAGCCACCATCCAAGGCTTGCCTGTACCTTGAACTGGCTCTGGGCAGTTGGGGGCAGGGATGAGGGGACTGGAAACTCTGAAGGCAGGCATGTGGGCCTGACCTTGCTGTGCGCTTGCCAGGTGGGGCTGAGGGGACTGGGAGCCACCATCTTGTGGCTGTGGGCACCATCTTTGAGGGTGGGCAATCAATTAGCATATTCCCTCCTTATTGGCTGTGGGTGCCGCCACCTTTGTGATGGCACGAGGATCAATTAGCATATCCCCTCTTTATTAGATAGGATGAGTGAGATCATGTGGTATTTTTCTTTCACTGCCTGGCTTATTTCACTTAGCATAATGCTCTCCAGATCCATCCATGCTGCTGCAAATGGTAAGAATTCCTTCTTTTTTTTAACAGCAGCGTAGTATTCCATTGTGTAGATGTACCATAGTTTTCGAACCCACTCTTCTGCTGATGGGCACTTAGGCTATTTCCAAATCTTAGCTATTGTAAATTGTGCTACTGTGAACATAGGGGTGCATATATCCTTTCTGATTGGTGTTTCTTAGGATATATTCCTAGAAGTGGTATTTTTTATTTTTTTTTTTATTTTTATTTTTTTTTTTTATTATTTTTTTTTTTTTCACTTGGCCTTCTTTTTTTTTTTTTTTTTTTTTATTAAATATATATATATTTTTTGATTTTTTTTGCCCCCCCCTCCCTCCCACACATTCCCTCCCTCCCCAGAGTTTTATGTCCAATGGTTGTACTTATGTGCATGTATAAAAGTCCTTCGATTGATCTATTATCTCCCCCAGATCTTCCTCCCCTCCCCGCTGTAATTTGACAGTCTGCTTGTTGATATACTATCCTTATATCTATCTTTTGGTTCATCAGTTTATAATGTTCTTTATTATCCACAAATGAGTGAAGTCATGTGGTGTTTTTCTTTCAATGACTGGCTTATTTCACTCAGCATGATGTTCTCCATTTCCATCCAGGTTGCTACAAATGATGAGAATTCCTTCTTTTTTATGGCAGCATAGTATTCCATTGTGTAGATGTACCAAAGTTTTTTGATCCAATCATCTGCTGATGGGCACCTAGGCTGTTTCCAAATTCTAGCTATTGTAGATTGTGCTGCTATGAACATAGGGGTGCATATATCCTTTCTGATTGGTGTTTCTAGTTTCTTGGGATATATTCCTAGGAGTGGGATTACTGGGTCAAATGGGAGTTCCATTTTCAGTTTTTTGAGGAAACTCCACACTGTTCTCCACAGTGGTTGCACCAGTCTGCATTCCCACCAGCAGTGCACGAGGGTTCCCTTTTCTCCACAACCTCGCCAACACCTGTCGTTTGTTGATCTGTTGCTGTTGGCCATCCTGACAGGTGTGAGATGGTACCGCATTGTTGTTTTGATTTGCATCTCTCGGATAATTAGTGACTTTGAGCATGTTTTCATGTGCCTTTTGGCCTTCCTTCTGTCTTCTTTTGGAAATATTCTATTTAGGTCTATTGCCCATTTTTTAATTGGATCATTCATCTTCCTTTTATTTAGTTGTATAAGCTGTTTGTAGATGTTGGAGATTAAACCTTTATCAGTGGTAACATTTGCAAATATGTTCTCCCACATTGTGGGCTTTCTTGTTGTTTTGTTGATGGTTTCTTTTGCTGTAAGAAAGCTTTTTATTTTGATGTAGTCCCATTTGTTTATTTTCTCTTTAGCTTCCATTGCCCTAGGGGCAGTATCAGTGAAGAAGTTCTTTTGGCATATGTCTGAGATTTTGCTGCCCGTGGATGCTTCTAGTATTTTTATGGTTTCCCGTCTGATGTTTAAGTCCTGTATCCATTTTGAGTTTACTTTTGTGTATGGTGTAAGTTGGTGATCCAGTTTCATTCTTTTGCATGTATCTGTCCAATTTTCCCAACACCATTTATTGAAGA